TTTCTACAAATCCAAATCACTTGAAATTTTAGGTGTGTATTTATAAAAAATATGAATCTACAAAAAATATCAAAAAAATATTTTACGTGAAATAAATTGACCAAAATACCCCTAAAATATTTTGAGGGGTATTTTGGTCATTTGTGTTTATTACTAATAATTGTTTTTATATTTTTATTAAGTGCACCTTAATGATAAAAACATACATCTAAAATTTTAATTGATTTGGATTTGTAGAAAATAAAAGAAAATTCAAGCACCATCGAACATTCGTGATCGTCAAATCGGCCCATATTCAATCTAGTCCGTTAGGCTCATATGTTCATATGAGCTAGTGGGCTAATAACATCTTTTTCCATATATATATATATATATATATATATATATTGATATATTAACTACAGGTAATCCAAACATCACCTACTTCTATTAACTACAGGTCAATTTGGTCAAGTCAATCTTGTTACTTGAGACTTCTACCCTTACTTAGGAGGGAAGACAATGTCAAATGGTCGATCCATTTCATAATGTCTTCACGCACACACACAGTCCCCAGCGTGTTTTGGGGATTTTTTATAGGCAGAGGCCTTGCAAGATAAGACCCTCTACTTATGCCATTCTGGCGAGAGAGCGTTATACTACAATTGGATGACCCAATGTGTAGTGCTCATTTAGATTTGGGGGGGGGCGACCCCCCTAAATATTTCATTCATATCCTAACCCCATCTCATCATGGGGAGTCAGGAAAAAATCTCAACTGTCGCCACAATTTACTTATCATATCACATTACACTACCAATGAGTGACCCGTTGCATAGTGCCTCATATCACATCTCTGGCATGTCTGATTACAACCATGCACATTCTCACATAGGCATGTCTTATTACAACCATGCACATGTATATCACATAGGCATGTCTTATTACAACCATGCACATTCAATAATTCATAAGCATTCACTCTCTCATAAGCATGTCTTATTACAACCATGCATTTCAATATTTCATAAGCATTCACTGTTCCATAGGCATGTCTTATTACAACCATGACTTTCAATAGTTCATAAGCATTCACTGTTCCATAAGCATGTCTTATTACAACCATGCCTTTCAATAGTTCATAAGCATTCAATATTTCATAAGCATTCATTGTTTCATAACAAAGCAAAAATTTCAGTGTAACTGTCTTTTAGAAAATGAGCATAGTTTCCAAATACAGAGAATTTTCCAAAACCATTTTCGAAATAGATTCACTCATCTTACATTTAAAAGTGGTTTGAGTTCATTTGGACATGACGTGGTCAGTAAACAATCCCAAATAAAAACATGTATAGTTCTTGGAATTTCGGTGCACGGTGGCCTCCCTTGCACGCACGAAGGCCTCACTTCATCAACTACGTGAAAACCTTGGTCCTTACAGTTATGGAAACCACGCCCTTTAAAGAAAGGGTGCAGTTGGCATATAGATGCATCTGTAGTTGTAGAGGTGAGGTGCGCCTTCTAATTTTATTATGGTATATAATTTTGATGTAAAATATTCTTAGGATTATCTCAAAATATATTTTTATATCTAATTATGAAATTTTAAATTTTAAAAATGATTAAAATAAAATAGATCTAAAAACATATGAAAATCTTGAAAATGGACGATGTAGATAATATGTTGTAAAATGCTGAGATTTAAAATCTTTTTATTTTTCATGGTCATACATCTTGATGTCGAGATGATCAGTCAAGAGGTTTTTCAACATAAACTACCTTTTCAGATGGATTTTTGAAGTGCATCTGTAGCTCTACATTGTAAAGTTGAAACCTTACATAAACTTTTTTCGGAAATGGAAAAAGATTACCCGACATTTCCCAAAAAATAAAGAAATCTATTATGCGTGGTAAAGGATAGCGCTTCTCTTGGTGATTTTCGCTACCCAAAAATACTGTGCAAAAAAATCCATTGATTCACCTTGTAATAACCAAAAACAAGCCTTCAACTAGCAGCTAAAACCCAGTAGCCCCATCTTCTATAGCTCATAGCTCCCTTTTGCAATCCGAATTACACATATATTTAAACCTAAAAAACCCACTAGGCCCATCTTCTAGAGCTAATAGCTCCTTTGCAATCCGAATCACATATATATTTAAACTTAAAAAATCATACACCAGCCCATCTTCTTTAATTAGCCCCATCTTATTTAACTAGCTGCTAAAACCAGACAGCCCATCTGCAACTACAGTTGTAGCTATTGTTTATTTCTAGATATCCAAGATTTATTTTTTGGGTTCTGCAGCCACAGTTGTAGCTATTGTTCCAAAAAAAATAAACGGATTTGAATCCAAGATTTATTTTTTTGGCTTTATTTTTTTCTTTTTTGCTGCTATTGTTTGTTGATAAATTCGAAATACTTGAGTTCACTCACAGAGAATCGTCAAATCAGTGTGCTTTAATTGTTTTTTTAGAAAATTTTAAAAGTAATTTACCACTTCATTCTCCTCCAATGCCCTAACATAATTTCTCATCAAATACATCTCATTTACTCATAAAGCCTTCTAGGTTACTGGCCAATTTCTCAAATTATTATTTTTCTTTTGAATTTGCCCATAGAAGTTTTCTGGAAAGAGATGATTGAAAGGGTTTAACCCAAGAAAAAAAAACATAAAAAATATGATGGCTTATCATAATAAAAGTATGTTATTCCAAAATGTTAACCTCTTGAAAACATGTGATTCCAAGCAAGACAAAAAAATGGTAATATGCATTTTCCATATTTCTTCACGACATACCCAAACAATAATAATGTATTTCTCAGGTTGTATCTAAATACTACCCAAACAATGATAATCTATTTATAGATAATGTATTATACCAAATTTATTTATAAATAATGTATTACACCAAAAATATATTTCACATATAATATATTTACAGGTATCTAAATCGCCTCGAAAGAAATAAGAGGAGAGAAAGAAATAAAGAGAAGGGAGAGAAAAAAAACGTTGAAGCGAGCGATGGGAATTATAAAAAATAAAAAGTCACGTCGGCCAAGAATAGCTAGAGGTAACTTAAGAGAATAACGCCCTTTCCATACCTCCCACGCAGCCCACCGTACCGCTTAAGCCTTCGTGCGTCTCTCTCCTTCCCTGTTTATGATATAGATAAGCGTATGCACCAAAGGATGAATGTCGTCTGGTCTTAATGGAGGTGAAACCCAAAGCTCCAATGGAGCTTGACCTTGACTCATTCCTTCAATTGCAGAGCAGTGATGAAGAGGAAGATGATCCAATCCGTGGCTATAATCCCACTTTAGATGACATTCTCAATGATTCAGACAATTCCTTGTCTTCGTCTTTGTCTTCCTCCTCCCTATCTGGTTCCATCAAACCAGTTGAATCACAAATTCTAAATTTGCAATCCCACACACTAGAATCGCTTAATTCACAGTCCTCAGCTGCTGAAACCCTAAATTCGCAGTTCTCTGTGATCGAAACCCCAAAATCTAGATTAGAATTGGATGACCCAACCATTTCTAATAGTTCTCTCAACCATTCGTTATTAGGATCGAAGCTCGATTGTATCAGGAGAAGAGCAGCTTCTCGAGAATCAATTGGTAGGTCACCTTCATTTGATTCCAATTTATCTCTATTGAACCGTAAAAACCCCAATTCTTCTCTGCCTAGGCTTTTTGGGGGGATAAAACCTAGCCCTAAGCCTGGCGCTGCCTTAGCAGCCGCTGCAGCAGCTTCACGCACAGTACCAACTCCTCATGCAACTGCAATAAAGTTCAGAAAAGCTCGAGGAGCACTTCAGAAGATGCTCATTCGAGAAGATTCGAATAGTTCATTGAATGAATATGATGAAACTGGTTCAGAACACATTTCTGAGAATAATCAGGGGGATGGGTTCAGCAGTGTGGGATCTGAGCAGAGTGCTTCAGTCTCTGGTGAAAAAGTCGAAGATTTAGATACTAAAGAAGTGGGAATTGGTGGTGATAGTGAAGTAGTTGATAGGAAAGAAGTGATAAGTTTCAGAGAGGAGGAATTTGGAGTTCCTTCAGTTGTTGAATCCATAGAGGCAGACTCAGTTTTGAATAGGAAGGTTTTAAATGGGGATGAACTTGAGCAGAACAAAAGCACAAATGAGGAGAACTGTTTTGAAGTGGTGCAAAAGGATCAAGTGGAGGAATTTGAAGACTTGGGATTGACTGTAGTGGAATCTAGTGTTACTGTTAAGCAGGAGTTTCGTGTTACTGAAAATCCGACCGAGATTGTAGAGAATACAATTAACAAAACTGCGGAAACAAATGATTCCGGGGAGAGCTCTATCAATGCAGCTGTGCGAACAAAGGATTTGGAGATGGGTGGTTCTCTCAGTGATGAAACTGAGGAAACAAAGCTTGTTGAAGAAACTGTTGATGTTAACCAAAGGAAACTGCTCTCTGAAAATGAGGTTGCTGAGGACAGATCAATTCATCATGAGAGCAAGAGGTCTGGTAAAAGAGCAGGGAAGAAGCTACGGTCAGCTATGAAGCCACTTGATTTGGCTGAAGAGATGGAGAAGAAAAATGCGTTCTCAGGGTTGCACTGGGAAGAGGGTGCTGCAGCTCAACCCATGAGGCTCGAGGGCATAAGGAGGGGTCCCCCAGCTGTTGGGTATTTGCAGATTGATCCTGACAATGCAATTTCTCATGCCATTTTGTCTTATGGGTTTAGGCGTGATCATGGTTCGCCTCAGGCATTGGCTGTCCATATGAATTATATTGCTGTTGGAATGTCGAAGGGGGTTGTGCTTGTCATGCCAAGTAGATATTCTGCTCATAGTTCTGACAACATGGATTCTAAGGTTCTTCGTTTCACCTTCTCTTCACCGCATTCAATTTTCTGAGTAGTTTTCATTTGCAGAATTAGGGTCATTCAACTTTCTATGATAGATTGCTTTGCATTCATTTTTTGTCTTTATTGTGTTAAAAGCTGGGAATAGCACTTGCATAGCATTATTATATCTTTAGTTGGGCTTGCTGGTCTTATAAGAGCTAGAAGTTTAGTCAAATCCAAGGTTTCAAAAAATGCTAGGTGGCTCCTAGGCAGCCTGCCCGGCGCCCAACGCCTAGGCGGGCGCCCAGAACCTCGGGTGCCTTGTGGTGCAAATTCTTAGATTTTTTTTATATATTTACTTTCCAAATGCACATATATGCATATATTTGTGTCAAATTTTGTAATTTATTTCATTTGTATCGCAAGTTCGCAACATACGTTTTTATATACAAACATATCACATGTCTCACCCTCTCAAGAATTAGGTTGAGAATAAACATATTCAAAATTTCAAACCATACAAAACGTTTAAAAGTCTAATAGACTATTGTAAGGTCTCCAACTCTCATATTCTCCATATTCCATATCCATAAAATTAAGCATAATAACATTCAAGTCTCAAACTCTCCAATTCTTCAACAAACTGGCTTTCAAAACTATAAAAAACTAGTAAACCACATAACGAAATAGCCTTAAAAGGCAAAAAACGTACAAACCACATAACAAAATAAAAATCGTCCAAATGTCTAAAGCTCAAACCAAGATGGTGCAATAAAGTTACTACAAAAGAAGAGAGAAGACAATCAAGACATCAATAAGAATCAAAATCATCATCTTCATTGCTTTCATCTGCTTCAGAATTGAGGCCGTCATCATTATCATCACCCTCTTTAACATATTCCTCTTCTTCCAGAGATTCTTTTGAATCTGCCTTCTCTTCCTCTATCTCCCTATGTGAAGTACCAGCAGAAGAAGTTGCTCGAGTGGCCCTCCTAGGATCAGAAGCTTGCCCCAAAGCCTCCTCGACCGTTTCCCATGTCAAACCCTCCACAGGGAAGACCTCCTCAGTACGAGGGTCACTAACTAGCCAAACTGAAGCATTCTCCATGGCTTTCGAAGAGATAGGATCCTTCTTTAGCTGGTTTTTCTTCTCCTTGAGCCTTTGATTCTCTCTAACAAAAATCAAGTCATTGAGCTTCTTTTGCTCAAGCCTATTTCTTCTCTTTGTATGCACTTATAAGGAAAAATAATGCATAAGTAACTTCTATGAGTCTATGATCTTCTTACCTTTTATGAATCTATATTACAAAATGAACTTATAAACAAAAAAAGCATAAAAAATTATAAAATAGTAAAATACCATCTCAAACGAACTCCAATTGCGCTCACAACCAGAAGATGTAGTTGTCAAACTCAAGATCCGTATAGCCATCTTTTGGAGGTTTGGATCGCTACTCCCATGTTGTCTCTACCATTGGGCTTCAATATGTGACAACCTTTAGGTATTTAATATTATCAGAACTTGAAAGTTGAAACTTAAAAGAAAATTATAAATTTATAATTTATAAAACAAAAGTCAAAAGAATACTACCTGGTTCGTCTTTGTTTCTCTGTCTTAATGCCATATCTTTCCCAAATGACATCAAAGAACACTTGTACGAAATTAGCTCTTCAATTGATGACTTATCTTGGATATGTGGATTAGCAACTAATTTCTCAAGGCACTCATTAAGACCTTCCATAATTATCCCTTTTGACTCAATATCTGCATCTGCATAAAAGAATTTGGGGTTCAAGTAGTATACCGCTGCATGCAATGGTCTATGGAGCTGCCTATCCCATTTGTCATCTATAATCTCCCAAATTAGGGCATACTTGGTTGCATCATTGCTCAAATTCTCTGCAATCTCATTCTTAGCCCTTTCCATTGCATCATATATAAAGCCCATGGAGGGCTTATCAGCATCAACCAAGCGCAAGACCTTCACCAAGGAAAGAAATACTAATATTGCATGCTTCACCCCATGTCAAAAATATTTCGAAAGAACAATATCTCATGTCTTCTTTCTCTTGGCATATCTAGACCACTTATACCTACTCCACTCCTTTAAAGCAAACATAGTCCTTAATGCGATCCTCCTCTTATACATGCTCTGTAGACTAAGGTAGGCAGTGACAAATCTAGTGACCCCAGGCGTCATTAACTCTCTATTTTTTGTAAACTTGCGCATCATGCTAAGGGTAAATATGTGATTGTATATGAAGATTGTAACCTCCTTAGCCTTACAAATAATTCCTTTAATAGTAGGCAATTCACTAATTGCCTCAAGCATAAGATCTACGCAATGTGCAGCGCAAGGAGTCCAAAATATACAAGGCCTCTTCTGTCGAAGTAACTGATTTGCAGCTAGATTGGGAGCAACATTATCTGTGACCACTTGATTACAAGTTCCTCTCCAACCTCCTCAATGCCCTTATCAATGAAAGAAAATATATAATGTGCATTATGAATATCATTGGAAGCATCGATTGAGCGCAAAAAAATTGTAACCATAGGACAATTTACTAACAAATTCATGTTACTCCTCTTTCTCCTATCACTCCACATATCTGTCATTAAAAAACCCCCAAATTTAGCCTATCCTTCCTTATGAGTCTTGAGATATTCATTAGTGTACTCGACTTCTTGCTTCAATAGTGGCTCTCCAATCTCATAAGGAGTTGGAGCTTTCAAACGTGGCTCAAATTGCCCAATTGCTTCCCACATTGTATGGAAGCTATTCAAGTGAGCATTGTTCAAAGAAATGCGCGCATGGTAAAACCACCGAGCAATATACTCAATCACCCTGGCTTTATATTCCTTCTTAAATCTATTTTTATTGTTTTTTCCCCTTTCCTCATTGCCTTTCTCAATTACTGTCTCAAGGCTAGGGATAAAAAAACTATCTATAGGCCCTCTCATACAAGGCTTCTTAGACCCAAAAGCCCTCTTGGTCTTAGAGCTCTGAGTACCAACCATGGCTACCTCTTATTCTCCCTCTTCATCATCTTCTTCAATGTCAATATTATTATAAAAAATATGGACCCCTGACTTTAATTTTGCTATATCCTTTTTTTTTGGCAATGTTTTTACTCTTTTCACCTTCAATGTATTCCAAAATTTCTTTCTTTACAAGATCTGAGACTTTCTTACATGGGGCAACATCACCTCTAATACCTGCAAGATGTTTCTTGAATCTATTTATGCTGGCATTAGAAACATGTCTATAGAAATTGTACATAATATTATTTTTGTCATTATTATCAGGGTTAACACAATATTTCCATCCCGGATCTCCACCACTATTGGGCCCCCAAAAGACATCTCAAATTGAAAAAAATAAAACTCAAATAAAGATTACAGACTGGCCTTTTCTACCCAATCTCTGATTTTGGATGTTGGTTACTTCAATTGAGCTACGAATCAACTCAAAAGTCTTTTTATACCACCAATAGCACCCTAAATATAATTCAATGAGAAAAGAAAACTTTTTCAATCCACAAAAAGCACTTTTGATTTTCAGAAATTACTTTAGATTCTCAGAACTAAGTTTAAGATTGGGGGTTTCTTTTTTTTTCACTTTGGGGTTAAAAAATAAACCCCAAAACTTTTTTATACAAACTTGGGGGTCAAAATGGCCTCCTTTGCCCTTTTGGGCGAATTTAAATACGATAAAACGCCCCACTGCCCTGGGCTTTTGCCAGAACTGGGCGCTGGGCGGCCGCTTAGCCCACCTGGGCGCCCGCCTAGGTACAACCGCCCGTGTAGGGGCGTCTGGGTCGAGGTGTGCGGAAATTTTTTTCTGGCTGCCTAGGTGTTGGGCGGACCGTTTTTTAAAACATTGGTCAAATCTCTAGCTTATGTTTGGTTTAGTAGTTCTTGTTGCTACCTTTTCTATATCATGATGAATGCTTGTCTAATTTTTATGATTGCGCCTTTTTGCCTCTTTTATCATCATAGTTATTGAAAATGGATTTGACAGGCTGAGTAGACCACTAGTTGGTGCCTTGGCGCAATATGGTCTAAACTGAATAAAAAAAAAAACTTCGTGGAAAACTAGTCAAATTTAAATTCTGACTAGTTTAGCTAGTTAGATCTGTTGGTTTTGATTTGCTAGACTAGCTGGGCTATATTTTATATTTCTAAACAATCTTTCCTATAGTTTCTTTAGGCAGAGACTGGTTTTGACTTGAACAGACCCCTCACCGATTCAATGGTGGTCCAGTTCTGATGACACTGGTTGTTAAGTTGCAATGGCTAAAATTCTACAAGTGTTATTTTATTTGGCATAATAAAACAATGATTCTTTGACAACCCTTCTCCAAAACTCGCCATTTGTGAATGAGGTCCAAATCTCCGAAATCGTGCAATTTTTCTCTGGACTATTTTGATTACCATGCCTTCACTTTGTTGTGGATTATGTCCAAGCTCACATGAATCCTTATAAAGATGCTATTCTGCCTTCCTCATTCTTTTCAAGTCATTCCAAATTTTGTTGGTACAATCTCCTGTGGCAAACCTTTTTGGCTTAACCTAAAAGTCACTTGGATCAACTAATGATTTCCATACAAGTCAAAGAAAGAATGTCGACATTACCTAGAAGGACAACGTAGTATTAGATGGACCATTGTATCATCCACAGTTTTACATATGAAAGAAATATCCAGGAACTGGAGGCCCAACTGCTGGATCTGGCCACTTGCGGGTCATGCTAGTATAGTTACATGAAGAAACTTGTTTTGAAGAATCTCCATACGTTAAACCACATGATGGAAAATGGGTTATAGAACTCATAGAACAGAATTACAATTGAAACATGCTCACTACATATTGTTGGAATATCCGAAGTTATTCAAATAATGATGTTAGAATATGCAGGACTCATTCCAAAACCATTTCATATATGCGAGGGCTGATATGTGCACATTTCTCATATGGTTACTGGATAGCACGACTATTACAAAGAAAAGGATAAATGTGTACCGTGATATTAATATTATAGTTACCCGAATCACCTATGAGGATAGCGATTCCGTTTCGGAATCTCGATTCGGCATTTCTTCTGGCGAAAGTCGATTCTAAAGGAAGGGAATCACGTTTTCTTCTTTTGTGGAACATGATTTCACCTAGGTTAGGAATCTCGATTCTTGGATTGCCGGAATCAAGATTCCATATCGAGGACTTTATGATTTTTAGCTACACAAGAATGCGATTCTGGTTGTGAGAAACGTGGATTCTAAATTTTTTTGAATTGCGAATCCATGTTGTTTGGAATCAAGTTTCTATATCGCAAACATCGCGATTCATTGCTACACAACAATGCGATTCTACTTATGCTAAACGTTGATTCAAAGTGTTAAGGAATTGTGAATCCATGTTGTCAGGAAGCAATGTGAGCATAGGGAGAGCAGACACCCTTCGATATGTGCTCAATCATGAGTGAGTGCGACATGTATGAGAGCGTGAGAGAATTTGAAGTTGTTGCACGTGGCAATAAAATCAAAAATTAAAATATGAGTAATATGTGAGCATAGGGAGAGCATGCAGAAACCCTTCGATGTGTGCTCAATCATGAGTGAGCGTGACATGTATGAGAGTGTGAGAGAATTTGAAGTTGTTACACACGTCAATAAAATCAAAATTTAAAATATAAGTAATATGTTAAATTTTTTATTTTCTTATTTACAAATTTCCATCATTCATTCCATGTTACTTTTTAAGAACTCTTACCAAGAATAAATAATACTGAAAACATATGTTACTTCAAAGTTCATATTGTTTGGTAAATGGTGTGGGTACTAAACTACTAATGTAATAATGTTTAATATATGATCGGCACCGTCATTTCTTTAAGTTGAATAAGAGGATAAAAATGCTTTTGTTGAAGTAAAATAAGAAGATAATAAGGATATGAGCGAAGTGCCCAGTGTAGTATTTTAGGTTAAATTAATCATTAAATATCTAAGAAATTGACTAAAATTTGAATAACTCAATTTTCAAAAGTCAAAAGACTCAAAACTACATTTAACAAAGAATAATTACTATGTCATGTACTTATTTTATAATTCAAGGAAAAGAGATTGCACTTTTTCTCACTCCTTGTATGCCGTAGACTAGCTCCAGACCATGTAGGCATCATAGGGTTATCAGTAGACCGCGTCCATTGTATGGGATTCTCCACAAATATATCATAAAGGTTGACATTTAGTACTTGGAGCCTTGGACTGAGTATATACAAGCCAAAATTGGATCTTGTAATAATGGGTAAATTTATATATTTTTTAAATACTTCTCTCATATACCGGAGGGAATTGGTTAATTCTTATAAGGGGAGAATCTCACGATTCCGGAATGGTGAGAATGTTGATTCCAAGTTGATGGGAAAAACGATTCTAGAATTTTAGGAATCACGATTCCTTATTTGTAGGAATTACGACTCCAGCATCCACCGAAACAAGTGGCATGTGTGATTCCATATAGGTATGAAACGCGATTCCAACATGAAGGGTCATCGATTCTTGCAACTAGGAAACACGATCCTTAATTTTTTAAATTGCGATTACGAAATGGTGAAAATCAATTTTCTCAAATCCGAATCGCACGGACAACAATTCCTAGATTCCGAAACTTTTGATACACTTGATTCTGATTCCAGAAACGATTCGGAATCACAGACGTTTCCAACAACTATAATTAATATAATAGTACACATTTTTCTTTTTGGCTAGGTCAGCATGGGATTCGACTGGGACACAGTGTGGCCCAAAATTAACATCATAATCAACAAGACATTGCTCGAAATTGCCATCTGGTACTACTAACAGCACGTTTCTTCACAACTCTGGTAAAATGAAGGCTATGATTGGGCTCACCTGTTTGAACCCCCCCAAGTTCTGTTGCATTGAGTTATGTTATGGCCTTGTTAACTAGGATTCAATTTGGTCTGTGTGGCATGGATGCATCTTCTATTTTCAGCATGCAATGCTTGGCTCCATCAACAAATGAACAAGGCAGATTCATTTTTGATGCAAAAATGCTAGTACCAAAATGTGAAGCTATCCAGTTTCCTTATTGCCCCTCCTCCCCCCCTTTTCTGCAGTCCATTTTTGCATGCTGTGTCAAATTAAGATGAACTGTTAAAAGTCCTCTGTTGCCTTGAGACATTAGCCTAATGGCTTTAACAAATTTACATGATCTTGTGTCGTACACCCATAATATGACTTGTAAAAAGTAATTCTGAATAGTACATGCAATTTTATATTGGCTGCACTAATGGCGCTTCCTGCTTAAAAATAACTTGAAATCTATGTAATGACTTTGCTGTTATTTTTAGCAAGTTTGCGGAACTTTTAATATGCAAATCACCCATGTATTTCCATACTTTTCCCCCATATATGGCATATTTCACACAATTGATGTAAGGAATGCAGAACCTGTTCTCAGATCTAGAGGGATCTTGGATTCTATTGATATTTTTGCATTTGAATACACACATATACATACATTTATACACACATAGGCATTTACATATGTACATGGATATATGCATATAGAGATACATAGATAAATGGATTCATACATACATGCATTCCATCTAGTGGACTAATATATAATCTGTTCAATCATAAAAGCACATGGTGGACAAAGATGTTCACATCGACATCTAATACCATGGCAGAAAGCAAATGTTGCGGACAAAGTAGTTCTAATTAAGTATGAGGGCATAATGAAATCACCCAGATATGTAGAACAACTGATGGTGAAAGACCTTCATGCTCTGTGTTTTATGAAATACTCTTAAGAACAATACAAGTATGAAAAGAACAGAATTGCTTCTCTTACATGTATTGGTATGTGCATCTCTAAAAGAGTGAACGTGTTCTAGAGAGATCAAAGATTCATATATTTCTTTTATTTATTGGTATAACTTTTGCGAGCTCTTGACTTCCTTCCATTAATTAGTTAGAACTTTCTACCGTTCAGGATCTTCACAACTTGGTCACTGCTTATTTTAATTCTGCTTTAGTAGTTTTCAGGTGTTTATGCTGGGGTCTCCTGGTGAAAAGTCTCATCCTCCTATAACGGCCATGTGCTTCAATCTTCAAGGGGATTTGCTTTTAGTTGGTTATGGAAATGCCAATATAACAGTTTGGGATGTTCAGAAAGGAGCATCTGTGAAAGTATTGACTGGGGAACATACAGCTCCAATAGTTCATTTATTCTTCCAGGGGCAGGATTCACAAGTTACACGGCAATTTAGAGTAATCAGTGGTGATTGCAAAGGCTTAGTTCTGCTGCATACTTTTGCAGTTGTTCCTTTATTGAATAGGTTCTCAGTTAAAACTCAGGTTTGGATACATCATCAAATTTGTCCCAGAACGAGATCCTTTATGTCATCATATTTTCTGTTGTAATTCTGTGTTGGCTTCTTTCCTTGGTTGAAGATGGGTTTGTGGTCTTGCAGTGTCTTTTCGATGGGCAAAAAACAGGCACAGTTCTATCTGCTTCTCCGCTTCTGTTTGAAGATATTCAAGTTGGTCGTATGGCATCCATCCAGGGTGGCAGTATGGTTTCTTCGAGCGGGCTTGGTAGCATGGTGGGAGGTGTTGTTGGTGGTGTAGTCGGAGGTGATTCAGGATGGAAGCTTTTCAATGATGGATCTTCAATTGAAGAGGAAGGAGTTGTGATATTTGTCAACCATCACACTGCTCTTGTGGTATGGATCTCTGCGAGGCTCTGCAATACCAGATGCTTTCATTTTTCGCTGGTTTCCGAAACTATGGCAGAATGAAACTCCTTGTGCTTCCATTTGTCAATGGTTGCAGTCATTAAAAGCAGTGACACTTCTTTCAGGTAAAGCTTGGTCCTTCATCTGTGGAGGCCTATGAAAGGCTTTCAAGGCCTGATGGGGTACGGGAAGGTTCTTTGCCTTATACAGCATGGAAATGTGCAACTAATTTACGAGATGTGTCTACTGGTACAGTTCACTTTTTATTCTAATATTATATTATTCATATGGATTGTTATGACGATCTTGCTGCTTATGCTAATTTGTTACTTGTACGTTATACATTATTGTCATGATGATCATGCTGCGCCATCTATGAAAATAGAGGGGTTAGATAGGGCTTCATTGATTGCAATTGCGTGGGACCGAAAAGTCCAAGTAGCAACATTGAGAAAAGCAGAGCTGAAAATAAACAATGAGTGGAGCCTTGATAGTGCAGCAATAGGCGTCTCATGGTTGGATGATAGGGTGAGTTGAGAGGAGTTTATTCCTTTTTGCATGATATTACTTGATTTAGCACTTCACGGTTCTGCTCCCTGGTTTTTCATGTTCTCCTTTGGACCTCTATATTTTTGTTTTCCTCAGGTTAATTAATTAAGTATATGATATTATTTTAGATGAATTGTGGCTTACTTACAGATGCTGGTGGTTCTAACCTTGAAAGGACAACTATGTTTGTTTACAAAGGAAGGAAATGAGATTCATCGAACAAGTTTCATTCAAGGTGCTTCTGGAGGGGATGATGTCATTGTCTATCATACTCTCTTCACAAATTCATTCGGTAACCCTGAGAAGGCTTATCATAATTCCATTGCTGTAAGAGGGGCAAGTATTTATATTCTAGGGCCCTCACACCTATTAATTTCTCGGCTTCTTCCATGGAAAGAGCGTATTCAAGTGCTGCGAAGGGCAGGTGACTGGATGGGGGCATTGGACATGGCACTGAGACTGTATGATGGTCATGCTCATGGCGTTATTGATCTTCCAAGAACTCTAGATTCTATCAGAGTTACCATAATGCCTTACCTGATAGAGTTGGTCACAGGCTATGTTGATGAAGTGTTCTCATACATATCAGTGGCATTCCACAACCGAATTGACAAACAGGATCAAAATGGACAGGATGGAAGCAGGTCTTTTCACCTGGAGATCAAAGAACAATTTGCTCGTGTTGGTGGTGTTGCAGTAGAATTCTGTGTTCATATAAGCAGGATTGACATTTTATTTGATGAAATTTTCTCCAAATTTGTGGCTGTCCAACAGGGAGGTAAATCCTGTGATCTACTTAAGATAAGTTCGGAAATTTGTGAAATCAGTCCTTTTGAATGTAGAACTCTGCAATTCATTTTATTTTATTTTATTGGTTCTATAGTGCCCGGATTATGAAATTCTAGTTTTAACTTTGGCTTACCTGAATTTATCAAATTTTTTTTCTTGAGGATCTGACATCTGAGTGCCCCTTACCGACACATGGTTATGAAAATGTTTTTTCCCCCCCCCCTTAGTACTGTTCATTGATGTTTTGTAGGTATTGGTTGCCATTGTGCCATAGTTTCGGTGAGGGACTCTATTTTAGGAAAGAAAACCACATGATTGACTTCTCTTTCATAGGAAAGCTAGACTCATTTTATTTTCTTGACTTGATTTTATGGAATTTGACTTGAAGGATAATGGTTAGTCACTCATGAATTTCTTATTTATAAATTATCTATTGTTGTCTGCGGTGGCTGTTGATTGTTCAGGGTCAGTTTCTCTTTCTTAAATCTTGCTAATTGGATTCTTATTTGGTGAGAATGACCTCAGGATAAAACCATGTGACTAATAGGAAGTCAAGATCATTTCACCAACAAAGGTTGAGCAAAAGCTTCCCTGTGGAAAGATGCCTTGGAAGATGCGGTCCATGAAGAATAATGATCGTTTCATGATTTCTGAATGGAATCAATATAGATCCAATCAATAACCTGCTTGTCTCAGTACCTTTTTGATAAAAAACATATACCGTGATGTGTCACTCCCCTAGGCAATCAAAACCTAAATCCAGAAGAGCCACAAGCTAAAGTTTTAGGTTAAATCTTTGTCTATTTACTACAAGGCTAATGTTTTTACTTTCAAGAGAAGCACAATGCGGCAGAATTTCACATGAATGTCTCACTTGTAACTTTCAGTGCTTATACATGTTATTGTATACCATTCAGAGTTCATCTCTGGCTATTGCTTATATAAGAACCCTCTACTACAAACCCCCCACCTTCTCAAGCAACAACCCCCCCTTAGGAATCCCAAAAACCCCCACCATTTCCAACCACCTCTGCAAAACAGGAACCCCCACCACCTTCAACCTCCCCTAGCTCCCCGGAAAAACTACCCCCCAGTTAGATACCTCATCTTCAAGACTCAATCTCCACCCAGGAAACCTTTTCGCTCTAATCCTAGAAATCTGGCCCCTCTCCCTAATCCTACTCCTTACAATGTCCCCCTCAACCCTTACTTTCGTCCCCAGAAAACTTTTCTCCCCCCTTCAGCTTCCCCTTGAAGTTACGCACATGTGACCGCTTCCAAGACTCAACCATCTTCCCAAACCCCCCATCCTGTCAACCCTCCACCAAATTCGCTCCAAGATTACCATGTTCATTCTCCCAAACCCATCCCCATATTTGGCTTTATACAACTCTTGAAATCTCTGACCGTGTTTCAGCTTTGGATGACTCCGATATAGGGTCATTTTAACCAAAACACAATGATACTATAGGTATCAACTTTTGGCTGCAGAGGACATTCAAGAACCCCCACATTTTTTCTACATTGCTTCACAATGGAAAGTACATGGTCTCTTTCCCTGAGCACTTCAAACCTTAGATTCTCCCTAAAGGAAACCTTACTTTTAGAGGAGCCCTCTTGTATTTACAAAAGTGGAGTTTGTAAGCAGGAGCCCAAAAGTCTAAGGAAGTTTGGATTACACTAGAAGGAATAATTCTTCACCTTTCGACCAATAGTGTTTTCAAAGCTCTAGGAAATAGTTGCAGGAAGTTCATCTCTGTCAACTGGAAATCAGTAGATTCTCTCCCTTTAGGGAAAATGGTCCTCCTTATCGAGTCTTCTACTGAAGATCCGATCCCAGAGTTCCTAGTAGTGCATTGTTTTGGCCTTTCTTATCTCATTGCGGTTTCTATGCAGGGCCTTACTCGCCTTGAATGACATGCCCTTGATCTCGATGGTTGGACTGCGGTCCACCGTAAGAAAGGTGCTCCGCGCCATACTTCGGTACCACAAATTCCTCCATCCATCCTTTCTCCCAAGAGCAGCGTCCAGATCCCTCATTCGTCTGCCCTCCACTTGCTCCTCCACCTCAAGATTCTAACCCTAATCATGGCCACCCGTCAACCTCCAAACCCTACCCTCGTGAACCGTCAGATTACTTCGACATCTGTGCCCCTCTCCCTCCATTAATGTGGGGGTACCTCCCAGCCACATGTATTGATGATCGCCTCGTTGAAGCCGCCCTCTGACTCATCATCATTCCTCCCCATTAATGGTCTCCTTAACAGAGATCATGATCCTTCCTCCACGTGTCCCACTTGTGTACATGCCCAGATTTCCCAAGCCCCTAGACTTCAATCTCAGAGCTCAAGGGCGACATATATTTCGTGGCTGCCACATGTTGCCCCTGCTATCCCCAAGGGTGGTTGTAGTTAATACACAACCACCTACTACTGACCATAGTTACTAGAATCTCTCCACAGACCTTGCATTTTCAGTTTCGAAACCTGATTCTACCTTTTCGCTAAGGAATCTCCACGGAAGCCATTTTTCGGAACTAAGGAAACTCAATTCCTTAATTTCGGATTCTCGATTCAACACATATTTAGAAACTATTTTTTGGAATTAAGGAAACTTGATTCCTTAATTTCGGAATCTCGATTCAACACATCATTAGAAATCATTTATCAGAAACAAGGAAACTCAATTCCTTAATTTCAGAATCTCAATCCAACACATCTTTAGAAACTTGAACCCATTAATTGTCGGTAGATGTTCCCAAATATACTGATATGGATTCTAATGAGGATTAAATCTTGATTCTACATCAATTGAAGTAGAAATCTATGCTTCCAGTGATTGTAAGGTTTCATTATTTTACTTGTTCTACCCTGAACGGCCTTTACTTTAAATTTAAAATATAACTCGTAAATACAATACATACAATTAAAAGTAAAACCATGGCGTAGACATAATTCTATTTTGTCTTTAATAATGAAGTGAAAATCACAATTTAGAAAATATGTGTCTTTTACATATAATGATCATAAGTTCAATAGTCAACACAATTACTTTCAAATTTGGAAAACCTTCTAAAAAGAGACATCCAATTTAGGTTCTAAAGTTGATAAGGATTAAGATGTGCTTGTGGCTTCATTCTCCATAAAAATGAAATCTTGATTCCTGGTAGGGGTCGTCAAACGCATTCCATAGTCCATATTATTGTAAATCTCGATCTCAAACTGGCATGAATCTTTGATCCATATACTTCAGAAACTTGATTCCAAATATGATAGAATCATGGTTCAAAACAACATATCTTTGTTCCACATATATCAGAAACTCAATTCCATAGATGTCGGAAACTCGATCCCGCATATTAATGAATCTGGACTCCTGGAGTGTCGATTCCAGGGGAATGGGAATCTCGATTCCAAATTGATGGAATCTCGATTCCATATGTGGATAAAACTTTGATCTTTTTCGGTCGAAACACGATTCTCAAAAACTAGGAATCTCGTTCCTAGCGATTCCTATTATATGGACAACGATTCCTAAGATAGGAATCTTTTAGCTAGCCACGATTCCGTGATTCCGTTTCCTAAAGCGATTCGGGTTCCTAGGCGTTTCCAACAACTATGCTACTGACTCACCATCCCTCTTCACTGTCCCACTTGTCATTGCTTCCCGTTCTTCGTGGCCCAAATTTCAAGTCCCAATTCTCTACCCTTCCTTCTCCCTGCTCTTTTGTCTTCCTCTCTAGAACCTCTGGAGGTGATTTCCTTCTTTCGAATCCCGTCCGGCTGCAATGATGGCAACAACCCTCTCTCTCCTACCACTATCTCATCACCAATATCGCCTCTCTTATCCCATTCCCAAGCCCCTGCCGGAGCTCACTGACTCCTGATTCTCTTCCTCCCCCCAAAACCTTCACACCCATAACCATTCCCCCTGCACCCGTCGGAATCTCATAACCCTTTCTCATCCCCCCAAATGCCCTGTCAAAAACAGAAACCAGCCTTCCCTGGTTGGTACCAAATCCAAATGGATTTTTCAAACCAGGCTCTGCCTAGCTCAACTCCATCGATAGACCCAGGCCCCCCCATTACCACAAACCCCCTACCTTACCCCCAATACATCAACTACCTAGGGTTCCCATCTCCCCTCCCGACTCCTACACCAGCCCCCCTCTTTTCGTTTTGATAGGATCAACACCAGAAAATCCCCCTCTTTCAAACCCTTTCGCTCCCCCTCTCCCCAACCCACCTGGCACAGGTCTTCTCTTCTGAGACCTAGATGAGCGGGTCCCAATCCTGTTGGAGATGAACCTCGCTCTCAATGCTGCACAAGCCTCGGGAGGAAACCTACCCCCCTGCATTCCTCCCCTCAACTATTTCTTCCCCCCATCAAACCCATCCTCCACATCCTTGATAGAACCCTCTGTCTCCCTTGCTGCCCTACAAACAATTCCCCCAGGAGTTCAGATACCGTAAGCCCTTCTAAATTTCTCTCAGGACCTCAAATTTCTCTCTGGACCTTGAATTCTTCTCTGACATCCAGTCTTCAGTAGCCGCTGACTCTAGGGAGATAGAGAGGATCGATAAGAATGGGGCTTATTTGGAGGCCAAGGTTGAAGACAACAACTTTCATTCGATGGAGATATATTGGCAATTTCTGACCACCTTAGGGCGGAAGCAGTAGCGCCATATGTAACCTCTTCTCCTTCATCTTCTAAGGTGTCTAGGGAACTATCTCAGCTTCATTCAGGGATTAACTATGATACCAATAGGAGTTCGTCCTTCTAAAAAGAGATCTGCAAGAAGATCCTCTCGCCACCCTAACTCACCTAGATGAAGGTCTTATGTTGGAACATTAGGGGTCTTGGCTGCCATGCCAAGCTCACTGTTATTCTCTCTTTAGTTATGTCCAATTTCGCCACTATCTTAGCAATTTTTGAAACCAAGCTTCCTTCCCCAGATAACCCTGATTAGGGAAACCTTTGGGCGTATC